GGATATAATTTAGCATGTTTGACTATTGCTACGTCATAACAAAGATGGCGGATTTCAATTTGAAAATGCCGATTTTTGGAACGTAATTGTTCGCAACTAAAACGCTTTTCGCTTAAATGAGTAGCCAGTTAGGACAATTCAAGCAGGGAACTTTTGATCTAAGTAAACTTTTTCTAGACCGTACTTTCCCATAAATAACGAACTTCAACTGTTCATAACAAGTTCATTTAAATTTCGATTACGTTCTTTGCATTAATCAACATTTTTTCGTCACCAATAGCTAGCATCGTACTGGCAGTCTATCCACAGGGTGTCAGTTGTATTCGAGTGATTATCGATGACTCAAGTTAATGCATCCAATAACACTCGCGATGTTGCTTGTGAACAGAGGGGGACATTGGGGGGTACCCAATACCGCAATACCGTGCTAAAAAATGGCAAATACCGAAATACCGCGTCGCAAATCGACTTAATACCGATACCACATATTTTAGTTACATTTATAATCGGTTCCGCTTACTTCTCGTTGCTTCCATCTAGCGCGTTTAATTATCTACGGGATTTCTGCACAAAGATGTTTTTATTTTTAATATTTTGGTGGTTCGCAAATTTTCACTGAAAAGTAAATTTCATTCGGTCAACCTTTTGCTAGGAGTATACTAAACGGAAAACATGAAGAGAGGTGTGATCCCTATTACAGTCCTAAGAGTGAATAACAATTCTCTTACCTTAAAACGGTTTTCTAAAAGGCATTTGCATGATGGCGTCATTATTACTACAACCGGTTTACATTGTTCACAGTTCCCTATTTTCCCGTGAGACCGTCGGCATGTAAGACTTTGCGTTGCCTTCTAAAATCTCCGACACCTGCTCCCTCGGTACATACGAAACCAAGATGGCCGCCAGCAACACAAAGCGCTCGATCTCGACGGTCTTACGGAATAATAGGGGACTGCGAACCGTCTACAGCTACTACTACTGCTTGAATACACTTAGTTTTCCCTTTCATATCAAATTTGTTAATTCCAAAGCGTGATATAACAAATTTAACGCTCTAACTTGCACAAAACAGGAAAATCGTAAAGGATTCTGGTAGTAGTGGTAGTGGTAGTCAAAACACGTCATCACGCATATCGCCCAATTTCCGCTCAAGTATAGGCCAGTCTATCTGTAGCAGCATCGGACGAATGCAACCGTCTTTCAGTACAATAAACGATTATTAAATCGAATAACTCTGCCAAATTGAGATCGTGCACCAAGGAGGAAGTTTGCTGCCCTTCCGATTTCCCCTTGAAGAGTTCCTTGAAGTACTGGCGCACTTTCATAAGTAGTATCCTCAATATCCTCATCACTGCTAGGATCGAACTCATCCACCAATTCATCATCTGTTGTATCATCTTCTGCTGTTGGGGCATCCACTGTTTCGGTGGCCTTGGCACCTGCATGTTGCGCAGAAGTGATGGTGACCGGGTTGTCTAATGCGACACACTCTCTCTGGTGCAGGAATTCTGGTAGAGTACCATTGCCATTGGATGCAACAACAATCTCGTTGTTAACTGTCAAAAATGACCCACAAATGGTGTAATAATTTACCATTATGTCTAAAGACTTCTAAATATTAACTTTCATTGAGCTTTATGTCTTACTGTGTTTTGTTTTGCGTATGGTATCGAAAGGAAAGCGCAATAAACTCTACCGCTATACCGTAAACAATCATACTTCACCGAATACCGTCAT